TCTCTACTCCTGTCTTTAGCTTCCAATGACATCTCCCCCTCCTGGAGAAATGAAGGCATGACAAGGAAAAAGAACAGGTGAGAACTGAGCCAGAGTCTGAGGTGAGGACGTCAAAAACCACCACGACGTTCACTCACTGTTTATGACGTCAACGCGTCAAAGCCATCGTTAAATATTATAAAATAGATATGTTTCATATTGAAAAGTGATTCATTCGACGGAGTCACGGCGGCTCGTCAACACGAGCCTTGTTGTTTTTCTGCCTGTGTGAGTTGTTTACTGTCTAAAAATAAAACACATGAAAGCTGAGGCCGCTTGGTGTCGCTGTAGGTAACACTGCCACATGGATCAGCCATATATATTACACCGGAAGTGTATCCTCGATCTGCGAGGGTCAAGATCAACTTCGCACCACCGCCACGGTAGGTTCAACATAAATGTAGGAAAGTACTAATAAATACTTGTCTGATACTAGTTAGTTACTGTTGTCTGACTGACCGGGTACGGTAAAGGTAGAAGGAGGGTGAGGAGGGGGGAGAGCAGGAGGGAGAGCAGGAGGGAGAGCAGGGCAAAGTCATACGTGACGCGGGTTTAACAGAGGAAGAGCCGAGGTTGAAACGCCGTTCGTTTGTCCGTTCGAGTGTTGAACGGCAGTAGAACGAGGCTGCAGATAACTAACTACAACTAACTACAACTAACTACACTAACTGTACGAGCTGTTCATCAACCACTGGTGAGTAACTGAAGTTCAGGAAGTTGATGGATTTTTTATAGTCGAACAAATGGTTTCTTGATCCGATCTCGGTGTGAAGAGTTGACGTTTTTCAAACTGTAACTGTAAGCAGTTACACCGGGATGAGACGGACCGACGAGAATGACTGAGGTGATTCACTTCTGTGGAGACACTGGCTTCAGACTCCGTTGGTCCAAGTGAGAAACCAACAACAACAACAACCTCTGACCAGTCTGGACCGGGTTGACTAGTGTTAAACACACCGACTCTGTAGGCAGTAGCCCATGTGGGCCTTATGTAAGTGTCCCGTGTGACACGGTGTAGGTGTTGCGCAATCCTGTGTCTGGACCATAACTGTGTCAAACTGTGACGACACAAATGTTTCTGTGAAACCAGGGGTCTGTGGTTGGTTGGGTTTGAGCAGCCCCCCCCCCTCCTCACCCCCCCACTCCCACTTCATCATTCACCTCTTCTGCACAGATGGCTCACAGACTTTTCATGCGGAGAATATGGACTCTGTGTGGAGGAGAGATCCGCTGCCTCCCATCAGCCACTGCCACGGCTGCTTCCTCCTCTTTCTCCAGCTCCCTTCAGTCTGCACAGAGCCGGGTGTCCTTCCTGTCGCCACCACACTCTCTGCCTGGCGCCCTTCCTCAGACCTTCAGCCGGGCCGTGTCCTTCAACGTCCAGGACCACGAGGACTTCACAGAGAGGGTCGTCAACAGTGACCTGCCTGTGCTGGTGGACTTCCACGCCCAGTGAGTAGTCAGACCTGCCACAGACCTGCCACAGACCTGCCACAGACGTACCACAGACGTACCACAGACATGTTACCGACCTGTCTCTT